TGTCAGGTGTCACTGTGAACGAGCCACCGGCAGCAGACTCCCATACATACTGCTCATCGTCGTTGTGTTTCGAGTGGACAACCACCTGGTCCGCGACGAGATAAGCTGAGTAGAAACCCACACCGAACTGACCGATCATACTGATGTCAGCGCCGGCGGCCAATGCCTCCATAAACGCCTTAGTACCGGACTTGGCAATCGTACCAAGGTTGTTAATCAAGTCAGCCTTTGTCATGCCGATACCTGAGTCCTGGATTGTCAATGTGCCGTTGGCCTTGTCCGGAATGACCTTGATTTCAAGATTCTTGTCAGTATCTAATACGCTTGCGTCTGTGAGTGAAGAGTAACGGATCTTGTCAAGAGCATCTGAAGCATTTGAGATGAGCTCACGAAGGAAGATGTCCTTGTTAGAGTAGAAAGTGTTGATAATTAAGCTCAGCAGCTGGTTAATGTCAGCCGAAAAGGCAAACGTTTCAGCTTCAGGAGCACTCATTTGTTGATGTAGTTAGATGCTTGGATTTAATTTCAACTGGGTAGATTGAACAATGAGCCTTCAATGCGGGCTTTAAAATCGGATGCGGGTTGCCAACCAGCCAAATAACTCGAGAGTATCCCAAACAAACCAGACATTCTTCATTCCTGCAAAAACTTCCATTGATCGAGAAGGCAAGGCGACAACCATGATTCAGCCTGAAGTAGACTAAAATGAGGAGGGATGACGCGTCTGATGGTTCGAATCTTCTAGATTGCGACGGGCCAGCTAAAGTGTACCCAATCAATTGTTACAGGTCTAAATCCATTCAGTCATTTGAAATTGCAATATGCACTCTCGCGTCCGTTTGTTTCCTTTTCTCGAATTTCCTCTTTCTGCGCGAACATTCTAGACGGTAAAGTCAACGGACGTTTGAGATCAATACATGCTTCATAGTATACATAAACGTATATTGTAAAATCTCAATGTGGTACATCTGAATACAGCAAACGGACCACCTATCGTCTAGAAATTTGTACCAGCGCCTACAACAAACTACTCGTTACATCTGATGATAGTCGATGGTCACAATTAACAGCAATCAAGTATTATTTCGAGGCTGTGGAATGGTGCACCAATCTAAGGTCCTCGTGTCGGTCATCGGGAATTTTGATAAATGATGCGTCGACTGCTTCCGCGCCACAAGGTCTTCCTTCGGCTTGGCAGCAGTAGACGACGTCGCAGTGGGAAGTGCTGGATTGTTATTGATTTGATCAATGACGATGTTAAGCACTTATTGCGGACTTTTGAAAAGGCGTGGATCTTCATTGTTTCTTGCAAGTGACTAGGTGTTCTCTTTGTCTTCATGAAAATCTTTGGACTCTGGCACTGAGGTTTCGGGATTGGTCGGAGCAATGGAGAGCTCTTGGTGTGCAGTCATGTAAGCAACATACTCACGGACGTACTGATCCATGTATAACTTGACTCGCTCTTGCTGTTGACGGAGAATTATACGGGGGTGGATAGGCTTATTGCTGGCGTCCATTTGAAGCAAATTTATCTCATCCACAGCTTTCGTCAAGCATTTGCTTATGCTTGCCGTTCGCTCATTTCCCCAAAAACGCTTGGCAGAGGATTCGCCGTCGGACAATCTTACGTCATTCACATCCTGTTCCGGTTGCTTCCGCTTGGAATCGCGACAGCTATCGTCTGAATGAGAATCGCTGCCGTCAAACATATCACTGTCGCACGATTGCGAAGTCTTCATGATGTCAGTCTCTTCCGTAATGGTGCTCAATGGTGGTATGTCGGAATTTGCTATGTCGGCCAAAAGAGGCTTAACAGGTTCGTTTGAATTTGCTTTATCTATAGCGAAAGGATGATGCCGATGCCGATGAAGGCTCACTATTGCCACTGAACTACGCACTTTCCATCGAAAAACGGGTTTTCGCGAGCTGGATAGCTGCAGCTTTTCGATCAGTCCGACACTTACTAATACATTGGCCACGTCGTATAGTCGGCGGATCTTAGCTGCGTTTGCAAAAGTGAATAAGTATTTATCGTTGCATAAAGTATGTAACTTTAAAGTTTGTACTTTTAAGTAGACGGTCTTCTTCGCTTTCGCTGTCTTCCATCTGAATCAATTGTTTAGCCGCTTCATCCAGTGGAATGATACAGTCCTCCTGTAAAATAAAATATGAATCCAGTATGCTACGGTAAGTTGGATGGACTGAGAAGCGTACCTTTTCAAGAAACAGCTGGACGAACATCTGACTTAATTTCGACAATGACTTGCCCCTTCGACGATCGCCTATTGCGTATCATAATGTGAGCTTCACTTGCAACGATACATGACCGAAACCCACCTTTTGTAGGTTGGTTCTCGACGTTGTTTGTTGACAGGTTCTGCACATCTGCATAATATTGCTTCGAAACATTATTTAACATTAGAGCGAATTAAGCAAATCTTCGCCCTAAACGATCTGCTTTACCTTCATTTCACTTATACTTGTTGGGAGGGACATCAGTCCATGCCAGTTGTAAAGGTTCTTACTTTTACGGCTCACAAGGTGAATGCTTTCGAGAATATTTACAATATCATATATCCGTCTTCGCTCCACTCCCAGCTCCGTCGCAGCTCGATCCAGACAAATTTCGGGTATTTGATCTTCCCGGTACAATTTTAAGAAACTAAAATTGAGTAATTATAAATCTCAACAGATTGTAATACTTCACAAACAAATAACATTCCCACGCACTTCTCACACAGCAGACCAAGCGACTTGTCCTTCCGACTATACTCTCGAAATGGAAATGATTTAGCGTCATCGCCTTCCACTTGCCACTCTCCAATTTTAGGGTCATTATCTTCGTCCTCTAACGCTTTGATCCGGTTGGACTTTATCGGAGGTTTGCCGGTTGCAATCGCGTCCGAGTCAATCCACGCTGTCTTGATCTGTCTTTTCGCGGAAGTTCCAATCTTCTTAGGAGCTCTCCGCATGTATCTACGCTTAGTTTTAATAGAATGAAGAGTGGAGCGAATCGTGGCCTCTTTGCTCTTGCTGCCACTGAGCAGATGCATCATGGCAGCCGCAGCTTCTGTACGATTGGGACTTGGATGAATACTGGAAATTCCGGTCTTGCATGGAGTAATTTTAGTCAGCTCCTGAGTCGGAGAGCAAATTGGGCTCATCATTTCTTGAATCGGCATCTCAAACATTATGCAGTACGGTCGTAAAGATTACAGAGCGGTACACTCGTAATATTCGCAACCGTGGGATCGAAATGTTCAAGTCTGATATTTGCGCCAAAACATCCACTCTGATTTGACTTTTAAATTCCACCAATCACAGTGTGCGTAATTTGAATTTGCTCCCGCCAAAATTTCCAGTACCTGCACCTCTTTTTTCTTATCGTCAATCAACGATAAAAGAACACAATCTCCACGTTTCCTATGGTGCTAGTCGTGGAACGTCTTGGCAATCGTGTACTGCTTTTTGCCCGTCATGCGCGCAATGTCGCCAATTTTAGTGTTTCTAATGGTTTCTCATATCCAGGAGCTCGTTCACTAGAGCAAATTGTAAAGCTAGATCTTCTTGAGAACGAGCATGCGCCTAAAATTCGCAGCATTTGGGAGGAATTTCACGCCGACAAAGACGACGCTGTTGCGATGACGCTAGATGCGATCGAGTTTCAGGCTCTCGTAACGCGTGCAACGGCAGCTCCGTACTTTGTATTACCTGTGTACCGCCAAGAGGGATATTTTAATATGTTATGCCAATTTCAGCAATCGTGTTTTCTAGTTACATACCTCGAAGCGTTCAAAGAGAATCCAGCAGCCGCACCACCATGCATTGCCGTCTCGCTGTATATTGATCTACTTGAGACGAAAAAGCTTGTTTTACTTCGTGCTGATGTCATCAACATGCTTGATAAAAACGAGTCGCAGCAACTCCTTATGCAGCTACTGACGAGCTACCAAAACGACAAGCTTTACGAACATGTAGACAAATTCAATAACAAGCCCGATCAATTTGACTTTGAAGCCTATCGATTGATGATGAAAAAGATAGTGATATGAATGAAAAATTACGTTCGATGTTCTTCAAATTAACAATCACGAAGCTATTGTCTAAACCCAGTATCCTTATTCTTGAGTCTTTTGAATTTGTGCTTCTTTTCTCTTCACATGTTCTGCCTGAAAAAGCTTTAAAGCTTGTTGTGTCGTGGCATCGGCCTCAAGACCAAGCGCCTGATATTCCCCCGTGTGTGTCTGTGCAAAATGTTGCAGAGAATTCAAGAAAAACTCTACCTCGTCCACCTCATCCAATAGACTAATGTACTCGTCATCACTTTCATCGTCATTGCCAAATTGACCCTCCGCTTCCTCACGCAGCTGGCGTAAAATAGCATAGTACTGATCATCCACAACGTCCTCAGCATCCTCATTTGAAGCATAACCACCATTATCCAGCAGCTCTTCAAGCTGTTCTCCTTCTTCAGCTTCGTTATCAACATCTTCGCCTTCATCACCTGGACTCGAGTTCTGAATCGACTCAGCCAGCACCTTCATAGCAGCTTGAATAAGCTGCTTCATGTGTGGACGTAAGGCTGCCGGGATCTTGTCAGCAGGCGCACGTAGGATCGACATTGCACCAAGAATAAACAATTTACGGTCCAGGAAATTGTCATATCGAGACAAATCACTTAGCCAGATTTTAAGTACACCGTCCGCTGCCCCAAGCTGCGTTAGACTTTCCAAAGTTAAGGCAGGATTATAGTGGAGCAAACTGCCAAAAACGCCGAGCAAGTTGCGAGCAGTTGAATCCACCAAAGGTTCCGCAAGCTTGTTACACACCATCAACGTAATAGAAGGAATACACTCATCAATTTTACCAAACAAATTATGTAACAGCGAGTAGAGAAGACGACAGGCCGCACAAAGATCAACCTCCTGTGTGCTTGAACTGTCAAAGACTCTTTTTGCCATGTCTAGTACAAGATCAAGATACCTCACAGTAGTCTGCGTAAACGGGTACGTGGTTGAACCCGCTAAGAACCCATCAATGTCTCGACCGACAAAATTGTCAATAACAGGCACAAAATTTGTTATATAATCGCTTGCCCAATCAAGAAAACTTGCAAAAATAAGCGGAAATAGCGACCATAATTCGGGAGTAATCTTATGGCTATAAAATGCCAGTGACCCAAGAATGTCAATGCAACTTTCCATGTATTCGGCATAGTCAAATTCCGTAAGGATTGTTCGAATCACTGGTGCCAGCGTTGGTACAAGTAGTGCATAGAGTTCTTGGTGATTGTGGATACTCATTAAAATTGTATTGATCGCATCTAGACATGACACAGCTGCAAGTGATGCATCCTCGTCATCTCTAGCTGCAGCAGTAAATTGGCCAAAAAATTCCACAAATTTAGCCACAAGTTGAAGCGAATACGGTCCAATTTCCGACGAGAATCGGTCAATAATGTGTTCGAGCGCCACCACGACTTCGTCGTTGCCAATCTCGTCCATAAGGCTAAAAAATTGTTCTAAAATCTGCGGCAATCGCGGTCGCAATACTTTGACAACCGTGTCGGAATGTGGATACATGACGACAAAGCGTATAGTCTTGGCAGCCTCAATACGCACGGGCAGTTCCGGATCAAACATCGCGTCGAGCATATAGTTGACAATACTGATTAAAGTCTGTTCATCTTTAAATTTAATTCCTTCAATATACTTACGCGAGAAGATCTTACAAGCACGTAATCGTAGAAATCCATGCGGGTTTTTAAACTCAGGCAAAATGTGTGTCACAATCATCGACTCAACTTGATCCTTGTGCGCTTTTGACTTTGTTAGCACACCATCGAGCGAAAACAGAGCGTGAAGAGCTGCATCCTTTTGGATAAAGTCCTTTTTGTCATCAGGACTTGTTAAATACGTATTGAGAATGTTGTTGTAGAAAGACAAAACGTTCATCAGACAATCTTTGCCACGTTTGGTGCACAAATCCGCGAGCAAATTAGACGCAGCGTAAACTGGATCGAGAAAGTCTTCAAATACGTCATTTGTTTTGCGGACAAATTCGTGTGGGTCTTCAGCCCATAGTTGTAAATCCTTGGGTGTCAAACATAGTACAGGGTGAATAACTTCAAACAACAAAAACCCTAGGTGCGGCTTGATGAGCTTATACGTCACCGCCGAGTCTACGGCTTCCTGCAAAAAGACAAGTGCAAGCTGTATCACACGATCCGTACAGAATCGTCCATTCTTGCGCAGTGCCAGCGTTTCCATGACGCATGGCAAAAGTTCGGGAGCAATCTGATTGCGATATACAGTCGACATCTGTACGTATTCCTCCTCTGCTTTCTTAGGATTACCATAGCGCGTGTAAAATCGGCATAGAATCTGTAAAGACCATTTCTTCAATTTCCACCATGGCCAATTATTTCGTTCTTCCACGTCTGTGGGCTGACCCGCAGGTTCACCACCTTCACTCGCTTCTGGTAAGCGTTTGGCGATAATCATACTAAATATATTCATCCAAGCCACAACTTGATCCGTCTGTGCAATGTGTGGAGGTAAGTTTGTCTTGACACATGACCAATATGTCTTGAGAATGAGATGCATCATATTTGCCGCTTCAATCGAGTTATTGGTCTGCATCTGTACCATCATGTTCTGAAGCATTGGAAACACGCCTTCTACAAGTGTAAAAAGCGGGGTTAATCGCTCTTCAGATCGGTATTCAAAGTTCTTAACCACTCGTCGTAAAGCTAGCAGAGAATTAATGATGCGATTGGCATCACCACTCTGGACATTCTTGCAGATATCATCGATCAGTGTTGGCCACGATTCCTACACAAATATCAAAATCAATATCAACTCAATATCTTTCAGCGCTAATATTAACAAACGTACTGGAAAGTCAAAACGAGCGATATAAGCAACAGTCTCGGCCAAAAGCGAACGAATGCTTGAATCTTGGGCCACAAGCAGCGCCTCGAGACCATTTTGACGACCTAAAACCTTGTCAGCAGGACTAATGACCTGAACCCATTGACCTTCGGGTCCATCAGCACCTTCCCAATACTTTTGCACAAGATTTTTAAGCGACACAGCTGCAGCTTGTCGGATCTCGCGAGTTACGCTTTGTTCAACCGTGATCTGAAGAAGCAGCTGCACCGAACCAGGAACAGTGTGTAAGCTCGCAACAGCCTCTTCTGCGGCTTTGCGTGCGGCTTCATCATTGCTGAATGTGTGCAGCAGGATGTTGTGTAGACTGGCCACGTCCATTGGTTGTGTAGTATGCTTAGCGTCAAATTTTGATTGACTGGATGAATGGAAGAAATGTCGTAACCCTTGATGTAACCCTTGTTAGAGATACATGACGGAGCAATTACGAGCGAGGTTTTATTATAAGCTTGAGGTTCTTCGAGCGGGTTTGTAGTGATTGATTGGAGGAGAGCTTTGTTACAATAAATAAAAACGTTTTGGTTTGTAATCTCATAGTAATCGCTAGTGAATCCTTGAATCGCACGCATTTTAACTCACTATGACAGTTTTGTCAGATTGCTATACATAAGTGAATTTCACTATGCTCGTCTCTTTCCTCGAACAGATCCCTCTATTATTGATTATTGGATGCTATGTTGGACACAGAAAACTCTCCAACTCATAAAAACTCTAGTCAGAGCCATTTCATATTTGTAAAAAACAAATGATTAAATTTACCAAATTTTAAATTTAACTTGCACAGAAACCAATTTGAAAACGATTTAAAAAGCAAAATCATTTTTTATATAAACTATCAATACGAAAGACTGTCAACGCTAAGACCAGAAATAATTGCCAATAGAAGATGAGAATTGAATAGACAATGTTATTAATTGATGCTAAGGTTAACCTTTCTGTCGCCTTTTTTTGATGAGTGAGTCGACATACTCTATCATCTCATCTAACAGCATACATCTTTCACTTTTGTCCAGATCCCTTGTAATCTTCCGACCTTCAGTACCAACAGCCGTTTCAAGCCATCCCACATTAAATTTTTCATTGAGCAACGATCTAAACACATTTGCCAATTTCTTTTCGTTCAATGCCTTTAAGAAATTCTCCACATGTTCCGTATCCTTGTCCTCCAATGCAGCTTGGAACAAATTCGCAAGTCCTTTATCTTTGACAGCCACTCTGAGAAAAAACACTTGATTCTTATCCTTTAATACCGCATCGATTCCTTTGACTAGTTTCTTATCCTTCAGCGCTGACTTGAACATCTTGACACCTATCTTGTCATCCAACGCCGATCTAAATAACTTCAAACGCGTATCATCCTGTAATACCTCTTTGAGAAATTGCACTCTCTTCTTATTGTCGAGAATCCCATTTAATATCGTCGCCGAATCCAATTCCGTACTGCTTAACATGTCATCAACTAATTTGAGCCGTCCTTCTGACTCCAACGCATCTTTAAACATTGTCACACTACTAGCATCCACCATAGACGTTTTGAGCAATTCCAATGTTTTCTCATCCTTGATCAGCTGATCAAGTTTAGTCACAACTTCAACTTCCTTCGAATTCATCTCTGCACCAAGATTTGTTAAAAGCAACGAAAAGTCTCCAACACCATTCACCTCTCTCATTATTGCTTTAAGCAGTCGCACTGCTTCATTATCAAGCAGCACCGCTTGAAGCCCTTGCACGAGTTCCTCGTTTTCCAGCATCGACTTGAATGTGGCCACCGCTGTCTCCCCGACTAGCTTTTTGGCAAAAGAAGAAGCCTGCCTGTTTGCTTGCAAGGCTTTCCTAACCAAAATTGTTTGATCCGTAAACTGCAACGCAGCTTTAAACAAACGTAGTTGATCCTTACTAAACCTCTTCACCAAATAAAGACCCGGATTTTCTTTAACCAAAGACAATGATGCACGTGCCGCCGATAAGTGCTGCTTTAGCTGTTCTTCATTGTTTTTGAAATGATTACGCAGGACACTATGTACATAAGGCACCACAGAAAAACTCTTTGCCTCGTGCTCAATGAAGTTGAAATGAATATAAACAGCGTAATTAAACAAATACAATTCCCATTTCTCTTTGGGTATGTTATTGGACCCACGTAAAATCTGGTGAATATCATCAAAATCTGTAGATCGCAGTGATAGTAGTCGATATGCTAGCTTGCTAGTCATAACCGATGTCATCAAACTATTCATGAAAGATTTGATTGTCTGATCTGATTTGTCATCAATTTTTCCAAGCCATGTTATCAAAGTACCTCCGTTGCAATTTGCCGTGAAGAGCCGAACAATTTCCTCTGCGACTCCATTTCGATCTATCGAAACTCCCTGCTTGTCAATAAGTTTGATGACGTGCGATAGTAACGGAATGTGTAGCTTGAGGTGGAAAAATTCTTCAAGCGATTGGTCTTGTGTTTGCAGCATTAAATAAGTGAATATCTTTGATGGTGATACTTCATATTTAATCAAATAAATTTGTGTTATCGTGCTTGTTGCAGGGTGTGCAAGCAGATCAGCGAACTTCTTCGCATCGAGATTAAACTTCGCTTCTTCACCATTTGACTTGAAAAACTTCGCCACTAATTTGGATAGCTGCCTAAACTGCTTTAACTCGGTTTCGTTTTTTGAAGCAGTGCATCCACTCGTTCAATAGTCGTCGGGCCGACAACGGCTTCTTGAGTGTATGGATTATGCGAGAGAAAATTTTTGAAGCGAAAAACAACTCCTCTCTCCCCATCAGTTTCATCCGTGTCGGTATTGTTCTGCTCACTCTTATCGTAACTCTCCAGCTCTGCTTCATCAACGGTGACGCTACTATTTGCAGAGGGCAGCGAATCATTCAAGTGACGTACGAACACGACTGGGTCTTCCTGATGGACTACACTCGAATTAAATGTGGAGGATACACTGACATCAAGCAGTAATAAAGTCGAAAGGATTGGCACGAGCATCGTCAAGATAATTGAGAAATGATACGCCGAGTTCCAAGCGACAAATGACAAGCCTTATGATTTGTTTTTTCCATTACAAAATCTGGTCTATACATTTATGAATAAAAACAAATCTGGTACTTACTATTACAGCTGCTTGCATCGCATATGTTGAAGCACATCTCTGTTGATGTTACCATATGCGAATCACTTGTGATGTAAGTCAAGATATATTACATAAATGTTACCTCGGCGAATACAGATGGGTTGGACGACAACTTTTCTGTTCTGGTTCCCTCAAATTTATTATGTGCATAATCCCTCTTCTGTACCATTACATAGAAACGAAATATATCCAGAGTAAAGAGCATCTCTTTGGCTGTTGGCTTTGCTCTCATAGTATCGATGAAGTATCATGATCGTACAGTTTTACGTTCTAATTGTGTATGATAATGGTCATACATACACTTTATTCGCATTTCTTTATAAATTTTGTATATCAAAACTACGAACCGCAAGAAGTTTTTTTTTCGAATTCCAATGATTTTCAATTTGACTTTGCATGTCCCAGTTTTCAAGACATTGACAATGGCGAACAGCGCTTGATTGCAGACGAACTAGAAAATATGGAGGTCTTTAATGTCACCTGGCAAGTATTC